CCGGCCACGCCCAGCACGGCCGAGGTCAGCGGGAAGTGGTACAGCAGGTACCTGCGCGGGCGTGAGACACGTGTGACACACGTGTGACATGTGTGTGACACATGTGTGACATCGTACAGGTGTGACACAGGTGTGGCACAGGTGAGACAGGGACAGAGTCACACCTGGGGGCTGGGCCGGGCCTCTGGGGCAGTTTTGGGGCAGTTTTGGGGCAGGTTTAGGCCCAGTTTAGTCCAGGTTTAGGCCCAGTTTAGTCCAGGTTTAAACCCGGTTTAGGCCCAGTTTAGTCCAGGTTTAGACCCAGTTTAGTCCAGGTTTAGACCCAGTTTAGGCCCAGTTTAGTCCAGGTTTAGGCCCACTTTAGTCCAGGTTTAGACCCGGTTTAGGCCCAGTTTAGTCCAGGTTTAGACCCGGTTTAGGCCCAGTTTAACCCAGTTTAGACCCACCTGAGGCCGCTGAGGTGGGGCTGGGGCAGAGTTAAGGCCGGTTTTGGGGCCGTTATGGGGCGGTTTTGGGGCAGGTTTTGGGGCAGGTTCAGGCCTGGTTTAGGCCCAGTTTAAACCCGGTTTAGGCCCGGTTTAAGCCCGGTTTAGGCCCGGTTCAGGCCCGGTTTAAGCCCGGTTTAAACCCGGTTCAGGCCCGGTTTAAGCCCGGTTTAGGCCCGGTTCAGGCCCGGTTTAAGCCCGGTTTAAACCCGGTTTAAGCCCGGTTTAAACCCGGTTCAGGCCCGGTTCAAGCCCGGTTTAAGCCCGGTTTAGGCCCGGTTTAAGCCCGGTTTAAACCCGGTTCAGGCCTGGGTTAGGCCCGGTTTAAACCCGGTTCAGGCCCGGTTTAGGCCCGGTTTAAGCCCGGTTTAGGTCCGGTTTAGGCCAGGTTTAGGCCCGGTTCAGGCCCGGTTTAAGCCCAGTTTAGGCCCGGTTTAGGCCAGGTTTAAACCCGGTTCAGGCCCACCTGAGGCCGCTGAAGTGCGCGTGCACGCGCAGCCGCGCCCCGTAGAGCTGCACGCGCCGGCTGCGGATCTCCACCAGCGCCCCCACGGTCGGCGTGTACTGGGGGGCACGGGGGTCAGGGACCCCGAAACACCCCGGGACCCCAAA